AGGGAAGCCAGGGGGTCACCTCCTTGTTCCCTTCAGTGTGTGTGAGGGCCTCAGTGAGAGCAGGCCAGGGATGGATGACTTTCAAGTGCAGGTACCACCTGGAAAATGAAGCCATGGAGGGGTTTACCAGGATTGGATTGTGTCTTACAGCTGGCTGGGGTCCACAGTGTGGAGAGGACCAAATGTGAGGTGGCCTGGGGGACAGACTGTTCATAGTAGAACTGGATGCCTGGTTTAAAAGATGCCTCCAGTTTGCTCTCAGGCACCCATTAGGAGGAATAGTAGCCAGGTTTTGCTCCAGCTCTGGTGATCATTGGGGCAGACCTGGGACAGATAGCCAGCCCCCACAACCTGGCTTGAGTTGTGGGTTCTGTTGATCTTTTTGTGGTTTGGTAGGTGGGGAGCAGTCACTGCCCTGGCAGACTTTGAACTGGTCCTGGTTTCTGGGTTCTTCAGGATTTGTAGTCGTTGATCTGCTGGCCCTCGGAACTAAAGCCAAACAAAAACTCCATTTTCATGCCCTTACCTCCATGGAACCTTCGAGGCACCAGTTTTGAGAGGCCCGGGCTCCAGCATCTATCCTATAGCTGGTGGCTGGTCCTGAGATCACAGTAACACCTACGTTTATTGAGCACTGTGCCAGGCAACATGCTAAGCATGTTGTTTTTACTTAAACCTCATGGCAATCCCAAAGCTAGGTTCTATTATTAACTCCATTTAACCAATGAGTAAAATAGAAGCCTGGAGAGGTTAAGTAATCTGCCCAAGGTCAAGTAACTAGTAAGCTGTGGAGCCAGGGTGTGAATTGTGCCACAGGTACTTGTAGAGGCCTTATCAGAGAAACTTTGGGTGAACACACAGCCTTGGCTGTCACCCTCCCCTCTGTTCTACCTTGCCCCCACTAGCTTATCCCCACTTGCCCCAGGATTTTCAGAGCCACTGAGCTAATGAGAGGGGCCTGCCCATCCTGAGCCCTAGCAAAGTAGGCTCAGCCTCCAGGGGAACAGAGGCAGCCTTGTGACAGGAGCACCCCCCACCCCAGCACCATCCCCCCTTGGTTGGGTCTGTTTCAACAACCCAGAGCAGCACATTCCATTCTCTGGCACAGCTGGGGGTTGGGGATTCCGGATTCCCCACCCAGCTGCCTGTTGGCTGCCTGTTTTCTTCAGGGCCCCAGCAGAGCCTGCTGTCTGTGCTCGGATACTGGGTCCCAGCCACATGCATTCCAGCAGCAACCACCCCCCACGTTGGATTTCCCAAGGAGTGAACTTTAGCCAGGATTACAGCCGACTGAACAGTTGTGAGTTGTGAGCTTCCTTTGTGGGGCTCAAGAGCCTCAAATCTGATGAGGCTGAGAGGGGAGGAGGGGTCGGGTAGGCTGCTTTGGGTCAGGAGAAAAGCTGCTGTCTGAGGTTGGCTCCTCTGCTACTGTCAGGGCCCTTGGAGTGGGATCTGAGGAGGGCTCCTAGAAATCTTCCTCTGAGGGTGGCAGAGGCATTGCTGTCTGTATCCCACCCCTACTTGGCGTCACCCCCTGCAAGCAGTAGTATAGTTGTTAAGAGCCTGGGGTCAAATCCTGGCACCACTACTATGTACAAGCTGTGTGTCCTTCAATAAGTTCATTGACCTCTCTGAACCTCAGCTTTCTCATTAAAATGGTGATAATAATAGTAACCTCAAAGGGCTGTTGGCAGCTTCAATTAGAATATCAGAGTGAGGGGTGCCTGGGTGGCTCAGTTGGTTGAGCATCTGACTCTTCATTTTTGGCTCAGGTCATGATCTCAGGGTTGTGAGATCAAGCCCTGAGTTGGACTCTGTGCTCAGTGCAGGGTCTGCTTGAGGATTCTCTCTCACTCTCACTCTCTGCCCCTCCCCACTCATGTGGGTGCACACGTACACTTTCTCTCTCAAATAAATAAAATCTTTTCTTTTTTTAATAAAATCTTTAAAAAAAAAAAGAATACCAGAGTGCTTAGAGTAGTGCGTGTCATCTAGCATGGGCTTGATATTTATTGATTACTAGTATTATTATATGTCTTCTCCCTTCTACTGGCTTACATACTCCCCAGGAGTGTATTTTCTGAAGTAAAATGCCAAATGTAGGTTCTGACCTCCTGAAAGTAGCAACTCTGGGTTTTAGGGGAGATGTTCCTGTCTTCTTTCTGCCTTAACAAATCAGGAATGTACTGAGTACCTGTTATGTGCAGGCACCATGCTAAGCCAGGTCAAGGCCTTTGATTAGTAAAAATATTAATTATCATTTAATGAATATCTTCTAAATGCTGGGCACTAGTTCCAGGAACTTTTCTTGTTTCCCACTTACCACTCAGCCACTCTGTGAAATAGACATTATTACTCCATTTTATAGCTAGGCAGTGTACCTAATGTCACATGGTCACTAAGTCACAGGATTGGAACCTAAAACTAGGCCCTACTACCTCTTTTCATGTGATCCTGAGTATTTTTTTAAAATATGTATTTATTTTTAGAGGAGGTGTGTGAGTCGGGGGAGGGGCAGAGACAAATGGGGAGAAGCAGACTCCCAGCTGGATGCGGATCCCGATGACCCTGAGATCATGACCTGAGCCGGAATGAAGAGTCAGATGCTTAACTGACTGAGCCACCCAGGCACCCTTGATCCTGAATATTTAGCATCCTGCCCAAAATCCTTCCTGTTTTTTATCAGAACTCTGATTTTGTACCCAACTGAAACACTTGACTTCCTTTACTCCCTTGCAACTAGGGGTGGCCATGTGACTTAGTTCTGGCCGGTGAGCTAAAAGTGGAAATCTACCAGGTGGGACTTGTTGGGAAATTACTGTTTTCCTGATCAAAAGGGCCAGAGGCAGCTGACATGCTGTTTTTGCTCCCCTTCTCTGCCTTGCTGCCTGGAATGTGGTTGAGAAGTGGTGAGGAGGAGGCACTGTTTGTAACCACAAGAACAGAAGCCATCCTCTGGCAGAGCAGGAAGACCAAATGAGTCTGGGACATGGACCTCCCACCTGTCCATCTCCAGACCTCGTATGAGGATGCCCTCGTTTCTTGAGGTTTCTGTCAGATGTAGTCATTCACTGACACACAGCCCAGATGCTCCCTGGGCAGCACCACCTGTCTCTTCAGACTGGCCAGTGGGGAGCGTGTTATGACCGCAGGAAATGAAGGGTGGGCCTAGGCCTTGTGAGGCCTCCCCTGGTTTGGGGGAGGATTCTTCTTGGTCCTAGGGAGGAGACTGCTGGGGGCTCTGACAATAGATGCTGGGGAACAGAGCTGATACATAGAGCATGACCCCTGTGTCGGTGGGTGGGTGAGGAATGTCTTGCCGGGGCTTCCCGGGATGGGTTCAGGGAGCCTCTCCCCCGCCTGCTCCATCTCACTGGCTGCCAGCACCTGACAGAGGTCAGTATTGTGCTCCCGCCAGAAGCAGCTTGAGTCCTGTGTGTTCGGTGGAAAAATAATCCTGGGCCCTGGTTGACCATAGAAGTGTCCGTAAATATTTGGTCGGGGTAGGAGGCTGGGAGACAAGGGGCAGATTCAGGGAGCTGGTAGGCTGGGCAGGCTTTGGGTGAGGGTGGGTGGCAGTGGCTTCCTCAGAGTTGAGGAGAAACAAGCAGGCCTCTGCTGCTCCTGACCTGTGGTGAGGCCACCTGACTGCCCAGGGAGGTGATTTATGGGCAGGCAGTCAGACCACCTGTTAGTTCACAATTGGCCCCACAGCAGAATTTGGACCCTTTTGCCTTCTTCATTTCTCTATGGCATCCTGCTTCTCTGAGAGCCCTGGAAGCCGAGTGCTCACAAGGGAATGCGACTGCATTGTCTTGGAAGAACAGGAAGCCTCGACTGGACTTGGTAGCTAGACTCTCACTATTGAGGAAAGCTGCTCTGGGGGTGTCCCCAGCCACTGCTCTGGGTACATCTGCCTTGTCCTCAGCATGCATCTGATGACAAACTCCAAGTCTCTTTCCTGGTGCCACCCCTTCCAAATGCTGGTCGTCTGAGTGCAGGAACCTGTTGCCTCCCTTTCAAGCCTCCTCCCCTCCCTGCCCCATTCTGCTCCACGTAGCAGCACCATCTGCTCTGAGCTCGCTGAAGAAGTCCTCAGAATAGCCACTTCCTGCCCTGCATGCTGGACGGAGATCCTTCCAGCTGAGTTCCCCTCAGCCCCTCCCCCTCCTCCTGCCTCAGATCAAGGTCTTCAACCCAGGCTGCATACCACCCCAGGGAGCATATAGAGATTCAGATTTCTGAGCACCCTCCAGAGATTCTGATTTAATTGCTTAGAGTGGGGGCCCCCCATTTTGCAAAAGCTCCTCTGGATGATTTGAAGGTTTATGTGTTAAAATGCAGATTCTGAAACAGCAGGCCTGGGGTGGGGCCTGAGCTTTTGTGTTTCTCACCAGCTCTAGGCGATGCTGCTCCTCTGGTCCCTGTGGCACTTGCCTACACCATTATCCCCACCCGGTTCGGACCAGTGCAGGGGGTGGGGGTGGGGGATGGGGGCGTGGAGGGGGTGGGGTGTGTGTGTGTGTAGAGTGTCAAAGGGGTAGGAATTGACTTGTGTATAGGCCCTTGGCTTTTCAGAGTAGTGCCCAGTGGTCGGTCCAGCCTTCTTGGGATCTGAGGAGCAGGTATTTCCAGGGACATGCTTCAGGACTGTGGAGCCTTTTGACCCTGGGAGCAGACTGGGGATCTTGGTGTCTCTCTCCTTCTTTGGGAAAAAAAGGACGGTTATCTCCCTTCCTCACTTAGTGCTGGGGAAGAGCAGGGTGATCCTCACTCTGTGCTCTCGGGATCCTACAAGAACATGGGTGTTGCTCTTAGGCATTCCAAGTATGTCTGTGTGGACAGGCTGTGGGTTAAGACAAGGGCCTCTTTCTAAAAGTCTCTTCTGAACCTCCCTCTCCCCACCTTTGGGGACCAGCTGACAAATAACCTAGTCAAAACCAACTGTTGTTTTCTTTGATTTAATTAAAAACTAAAAAAAAAAAAAATTAGAAACCATACCTTGCCTGCATCAGATCTAGTACTTGTGGCCTTGCAACGGTGGTGATAATTTACTCATCAGGGTAACAGGGACATATGGAGGCTGAGGAACAAACCCCAAAAAGCGGCCTCTGAGAGGGGGTTTGGGCTGGGCTTCTCTCCAGGTTTGCAGGAAGGGGAAGAGATGGGGAAGGTGGAGAACTGTGGCTGGAGGGTGCTGTGACCCTAATGCCTCTCCTCTGGGGGGACTCTGATGACACAAGTGGGCAGTGGAGGTAAGGAACTGTCCCCCCAAATAGCTCAGCCTAATACTGAGACTTTCCTCTTCAAGGCAAGGCTTCATCACCGACAGAGGGGAGCAGACGCCATGGTCTACTCCGGAAACTACCTCCTCCAGCTGCTCAGAGCCCCTCCATGCTTCTCGCTCTCTCCTCCACCTACTTTCTGAAACCCTGGAGTTCCTTCCCAAATGAGAAAGCCCTGCTTCTGAAAGAAAAAGTCCCCAAGGACCCAGAACCCCTCAGTTAAGAGCAGCTCAGGCTCCATGCCCATTCCTTAGGACCTGTGCTGGTAGTAACTCTTCATGGGACCACTCAGGCAGGGGCTGGGTCAGCCTGGGAAGAGGGGTGAGGCCAAGTGGGCAGAAAGAGAGAGTGTGCCTCAGGGGTGGAGAGAGGGCAAGGCACAGCTGGCTGCATGAGGCAGGGAGGCGTGCCCTTTAGTGGGGTTCAGCGGCCCCATAGAAGAAGGGGTAGTAGAGGGAGCAGGGATATGAGAACATGAATTTGACTGCAAACTTCATCTCCTTATTCTTTTTGTCCCAGCGGTAGACGGCCATAAGCAGCAGCTGTCCGTCCACCTTGCGGCCCATGACCAGGAAGCTGCCAGCCAGGCTGTCCAGCTGTGGGCAGGGGCAGCTAGCACCGTTCTTCATGTGCAGCACGAGCCTCTTGATGTCCTTGCGCTTCAGGGGGCCAGGCTTGAGTAGCTTCTTCTTTTTCTGGGCTCCAATCAGCTTCCGGTCCCCATTCTCTATCTTGATCTCCTTGATGCGCATTTTAACCACTGTGTGTGTGCACACATGTGGAGGGGGTAGACAGAGGGACAATGTGAGAGTGGGCAGGTGTGCTCAGGATGCTGGTGGGCCCCCAGTGAGTGCTGTGCCTGAAGCTCCAAGCCTAGGCCTTGGGGAGGTGGGCTTATATGGGTACATTTTCATATTTTTGAAGCTTGTATCATGTGCAGGACTTGCACTGACATTCTCATGCTTCATCTTTGAGATGGGAAGGAAATGAGGTTTGGAGAGGGGGTGACCTGTCAGACTTGTAGAGCCTAAAGTGAACCAAGGTCTAACACCCCAGAGCCCATGCCTTTCCAGGATACCACAGGCAGGGTGGGGAGCACCTGATGGGGAGTGGAGCAGGGCATTGGGCTCCCCAGGGAGGGAAATGCTTCAGGTGGAGCTGACCAACTGGAGGGGTGGTTTGGTGGGGAGAGGTCCTTGTGACAGAGGGAGGCTGAACTTCATGATCCCTGGGGCTGCTTCTAAATGAGATTTCTGGCTGTGTGTGTGTGTGTGTGTGTGTGTGTGTGTGTGTGTGTGTGTAGCAGTGGTGGGCTGGCAAAAGTTTGACAGCTGGCCTGGCGGAGGGAGGTGCTCTGTAGCATGTGCTGGTTTCCATGGGGTAACACCCCCCCTCCTTGCACAAACACACCATGGCCTACTGCAACACAGAGCATTGGATTGAGAAGCATGCACACAACCATCTTTTGTGATCTGTGTAAGACTACAGTATATGGGTCGAGAGTGTGATGTTCAGTGCTGTGTATTTTATGTATGAGAGTGTCTATGGTGTTTTGGAGTGTGAATATAGGGGTGAGGGAGGTGGTTAAAGGCTAGAAAGTGGTAGGAGTGACTGACCATCCCAGGGTGGCTGTAGAGAGCCTAATAAGTTGTGGGTTGGGAGCCTAGAGCTGGAGGGGACTCACTTAGGCTAGTCTACCCCTTCTACAGGCCTCTGGACCCCCATCTCTGTGAGCAACCAGGGAGATGCCAGAGGATGACTGTTCACCCAGGGAAGAAAATTGTTACAAAATGTCTTTCTTTCTCTCTCTTTTTCTCTCTTGGGCAGAGACATACACACACCTTACAATGGTAGTATTCTCTTTCCAAGCAGACTAATGACATAGAAGACTCAAGTAAGGATTTCATTGCTCTCTGTTTTTTCAGAAAGGGAGGCTAATACACAAAACAGCATTCCACTTGGCAAAGGCCACGTGCTGGGTCTTGTGGTCCTGACTAGACTTGGCTCACTGTCCCAGGAATGGAGAGGTTCCAGGATGAAGCTCCCCTGGCCAGAGGTGCCCAGGGGTGAGGGTGCTGCACTTCCATCCTGGGGCCCAGCTCTTTCCCTGATGCCCCTGTCCATCTCCAGGCTTAGCTTGCTTTTCCTGAAGAGGATCCAGCCCTGGAGACCCATCTGTGGGCAGGTGCCAAGGGAGGGCTGCAGGAGCCTTGGCCAGGAGTGGTTTTGGGGCCCACAGACCATGGCCTTGAGGGGCTTCTGAAGCCCCTGGGATGACCTGCAGAATGAGGTGCATTTCTTTGGGGAGAGGGTTCAGGGTCATAATCAGACTCTAAAAGGGACCCGTGATGCAAACAGTGTTAGTATTCACTAAGATAGTTGTGGACACGTGTGTTCGTGTGTGTGTGTGTGTGTGTGTGTGTGTGTGTGTGTGTGTGAAGGAGGAGAGGAATTGGGGCAGTGGCCACGTGGGCCCCACACTCACCGAAGTCGCTGGAACACATCTGCTCCATGAGGCCATCGGCACTATGCTCCATCTCACACTGGGTGCAGATCTTGGTCACTGAAGAGGGAAGCAGGGGTGGGGTTGAGGGAGGCTGATGAGGGAATCAGAGTCCAAAAAAGCCACTCGAGTACAGGCTTATCCCACTGATGAGCCACCTCCCCCTGTCAAGCCTCCACTCTCATCAGGAAATGGGATGATGGTAATGATGCTCACTGAGGAGTTGTGAGGTTCAAAAGAGACAAGGTTGCAGTGGCACCTTGCAGTAGGCACAATTTCTCCGTGACCCTGGCAACTGCCACTATGATGTGCATTGTCTTCCAAACTTTGTTTCATTTAATCCCCAGCCTATGAAGTAGGTATTATTCTTATTAAAGAAAAGAAGACTGAGGCCCAGAGTGGCTACTCAAGTCTGCAAAACTATTGTGAACAGAGCTTAGAACTCAGCATTTGTGACTCCTGGGCTAGTGCTGAGATGGGGGTATCTGCAGGGTTTTTCTAGGAACACAGGGTCCGGACAGGTGGGGAAACAAGTGACTCTGGCAGGGCAGAGGCTGTGGTAAGCTGAGGAGCATCCTCCTCTACGGTGGGCAGCTTAGCATTACCAGAACTTTGATTTTTTCAAGGGAAGCCCAAGCTCTTTAATTTTTATGTGAAATATTCTCAGTTTTATTGTGGCCACACAAACACTTCAGGGTGCCTCTGGTTCTCTGCCACCACATCTGCTCTCTGTCCTCTGTCTCTGCCTCCAGGTGGGTGCCACATCACAGGAGAAAGTGGGCTTCAGAGAGGTCAGAAGCATGAGGGCAGGGTGAGGGGGGATTCCGAGCCCGAGCCCGAGCCGAGCCCGAGCCCAGGACTTCCCTTCCCTGCTGTCGAGGCTGTTAATCCATGGCTTCCAAGAAAACCAGAAAAGGAACCATGCTGGGATCCCTGCTGGATCCCTGCTAGGGGCTGTGCTATCTCTCCTTGAGCTGGCTCTCTCTCCCCTGCTTCCTGGTCCCATTTCCAACCCACGGAACAGGGGTGTTTCCCTTCTCTCAACACTCCCCAGTCACAGGACCCCTACCCAACTGACTCTCAGGAGGGACATGGGAGTGTAGGATCAAGGGCTGTGTGGATGAGGTTAGCCCTGAGGAGGCGGGTAGGGTATGGTGGAGTCCAGTTGCTTTTGGGGGACTGGATCAGATAGAAAATGGGAAAGCAGTGCTGCCCCTTGGGGGAGTCCCAGCATCAGGGGCTCCTTAGACTCTCGAATTAACTGCCCAAACAAAGCCCTTCTGCTCACTGCCACTGTTTTATTCTCCTGTCTGGTGCCCAGCCCAGGCTTACTCTGGAAGGAGTTTGGCATTTGGGGCAGGTGTGGGGGCTGCACTGTGAAGGGAAGCTGAGACCAGGGAGGAATTAGGGGAAATGGGACTCGGGGTGGGTGGGAGGTGGCACTTAGGATCTCACAGGGTTCTGGAACCTGAGCTCATTTCCTATATTACTTATGGAAAAAGTGAGGTTCAAAGTTAACAACTAAGGAGGCTCCTTGTTAGTGGTAGAGCCTGGTAAGCTGCTCTTCTGCACTGAACTTTACCTGAAGGTCTCCCAACTGGGGGATTTTGGGAAGACAGTACAAGAAATTTGGGTTCCCAGGTACAGAAAATGGGATGAGTGTGTGTGTGTGTGTGTGTGTGTGTGTGTAACCATAGCCCAGGAGTGCACTTAGCTCACAATTTTTACACTATATCCCTTCCATAGGCTCCCCTCCCCTCTCAGGTTGTCAACATGGGGTGGTGGTGATGCTTGTTTTGGTGCCCTGGGGTCCAGAGCTGTGGTGGAGGTGACTGGGCCTGGGCATTCTTGGGCTGAGAGAGGCGTAAGACATTTATGAGGATGCCTCAGAATGGGGGGAGGGGGGCAGCATTGGGGCTACCCAGGGATTCCAGCGTCTTGGGAAAGTCAGCGCTGCGAGGGGCGCTAGGGCATCATTGGGAACGAAGCTGGAATGCGTAGAACCAGTGAGCTTGTCCAGAGCTGCGAGAAGGCCCTACTCTGGGAGTTTGTGGGGAGGCTGGCAGGCTGGCAGCGGGGGTGCAATTCCCGGGCATGCATGCAGGGCTGGGTAAAGGCGTGTGTGTGTGTGTGTGTGTGTGTGTGTGTGTGTGTGTAAGGGGGTGGCACCTCCGCGGGGCCCCGCAGAGCAGTGCTAAGGGCCCAGCTCTCGAGGGCGCCCAGGGGCTGGCGGCGGCGGCGGCGGCGGCGCTACCTGGAGGCGCGGTGGCAGGCAGGTGTCCGAACTGCATGGCGATGCAGAGGTCGTTGTCCAGGGGGAACTTGTGGCAGTGCAGCATCTCGGGCCAGGGGAAGCCGTAGGCCTCCATGAGCGGCGCGCAGCCGGCGCGCACGGCCTCGCACAGCGAGCGGCACGGGTAGATGGGCCGGTCGAGGCAGACGGGCGCGAAGAGCGAGCAGAGGAAGACCTGCGTGTCCGAGTGGCAGCGCTTGGCCAGCAGCGGCAGCCAGCTGCTCGCCTGCTGCTTCACCTCGGCCAGGCTCTCGTGCTCCAGCAGGTTGGGCAGCCGCATGCGCTTGTAGCCCACGGTGTGGCAGAGCGGCAGGTCGGCGGGGATGTCGAGGCACTGCGGCGGCTTGGAGTACGAGCGCCCGTGCAGCGGCTCCGCCTGCCAGCCGTAGTAGTCGTACTCCTCGGCGCCCGCCGGCGCCCCGTGCAGCGCCCCCAGCAGCAGCGCCAGCGCGGCCGCCCGCGCGCCCCCCGCCGGCCCCCGCATGGCGCGCGGCGTCTCCAGCGGCCCCGCTCCCCCGCTCCCCCGCTCCCCGCCGCCGCCGCCGCCGCCGCCGAGGTGGCCCGAGTGCCGGCAGCCTGCGCTCCGCTCCCGGGCGCGCCGACTGATCCTGGCACCTCCCACCCCGGGGCTCCGGCCCCGGCCTCGCCGCGCGCCCCAGCCAATCTCCGGCCGCCCGGCCCCCCGGCCCAGGCGCGGAGGCGAGGCGGAGCCCCCTCGGCCCCTCCCGCCGCCTCGCGCGCCCCGCCCCGCCCCGCGCACCCACTCCCCTGCCTCGGCGCGGGGCTCCCTCACCTCCCGGGGCGTTTCCCCGCCGACCGCGTTCTCCATCCTTCTCCTTATCTCCCTCCGCCACAGCCTCTCCTGTTCCTTTTCTCACTCACTCCACTTGCTTATCTGTCGTCTCGGCCTTTCCCCTCCGCTCTGCTTTCTCTTCCCTGACACCTCGGCTCTCCCTTCCCCTGGCCGCCCACACCGCCTGCTCCAGGAGGGCAGGGCTTCGCCCGTCCGTCTGCAAGCATGTGTTTGAGCTCCTGCCTGGTTCCGGCACGGTGTTGGCTGCCGGGGAATCAGAGATGGATCTGACCCAGGACCCCCCCCCCCCCGGCCCCCTCCAGGGACACCCTAGCCTAGTGGGGCCAAGGTAATCATAACTGCGTTCAGGGAGCTCCAAGTGCCTGTGGACACTGCACGGCACCTCACTGCCTTATCGCCTACTATTTCTATTGATAGCTAATACTTCTTGGGTACCAACTGTACCCAAGCGTTCTAACTGTATTTCAGCATCCTCACAGTATTGCTGTAATAAGGCGAATGGCTACTGTTATTATCTTCACTTTACAGATAAAGGTACCCAGGCAAAGGGAGGAGCTAAGTGAGGATAGGGGCCAGGACTTGACCCCTGGTGGTCTGGTTCCAGAGTCAGAAACAAGGTACAATCAGGAGGAGGTCTGGATTCTGAGTCTACAGGCTTGCTGGCTTTGGGGGCCTTCAATCACATAGCTAATAGGTGAGGGAGCCAGGATTTGAATCCAGGTTTGAGTTTCAAAGGCCAGGGCTTAACTACTCTGCCCTAAGATAAATTCCAACCCAGGACAGGAAAGGCTGTGGAAGAGGAAGAAACTGAGGATGTACAGGGAGGCATCAGGGAGGAGGCCTTCAAGAACCCCATGATTGGGATCTTTTCCTTCTGCCTGAACCCTACCTTCCATTGGCTTTCCTGTGGGAGGAGCTTTGGAGAAATGCTTGAGGGTTGGGGAGCTTCTTCTTGAGAGCCTGACCTGAGACCTGACCTCCTCTGTCCTTGGTGGGGAGGTCCCTTGGGGAGGTGTCTTGCAGGAGGGCTTGGGGCACTCCAGAGGCTGGATCTGCACTTGCCCCCCTCTGCTTCTGCCCTTATACTTCCTATCCCCTACCATCCTGAATGTTTCCAAGTCTCCTGTCTCTTCATGGATCTGTCCTTGCAGTGGTAGTAGAGAGAGGTGAGGCTCCACTCTTCTTAATATTCTGCAGACACACATGAAGCGCCTACTCTGTACAAGGCTTGAGGTGTAGTATACATGTCACATATAAGGATCCCGAAATGCAGAAGACATAGTCTCTGCTCCAATTCGATCTAGTGTGAGAAAAAGACCAAAAGCAGGGCAGAGGAAACAGAGGACATTTAGTAGACAGAACCCCACGTGGGTTCCGGCGAAAGAGCTTGAAGGGGTTCTAGGGATGACCCACCAGAAGGTAAAGGACCACTCCCTGTGGGACCAGGCAGTGGAATGTAGTAATGGTGCAAGAGCCTGAGCTTTGTGAACAAAGCCAAGTTGAAGTCTAAGTGATGTTGGGCAAGTATTTAGCCATTCTGACCATCCATTTTCTTGTTTGTAAAATGGAACGTTCTCAACAGTTATTGTGAGAGGCAAACAAAATGCTGCATGAAAAGAAAGCCCCCTGCATAGTGCCACACATAATAGCACCTAGGAATGTAAGATGTCTAAGGGATGTATGACTTCAGGGTAAAAATGTGATGTGTGTTCTGAGAGGTCTCTTGGGTACCTTGGCCCTGGCTGTGGTTTGGGACTCAGAGCAGTAGTTCTGTTCCCTGTGCTCCAGCTTACCCTTACTCTGCTGCAGGCTTGGCAGGGCTTCTGTGCTCCAGGGCAGGTGTGGTCTTGTGCACAGGCAGGCGGTGATGGCGCTCCCCAGGTGAAGCGCAGGGTGCTGGCTCCCTAGGCAGCTGGTTAGCCCGTGCTGGCCTTGGCGTCCCAGTGCCCGGCCTGGACAACAGGAGGCATTGTTCCTGTTGCTGGTTATGTAGAACTGTCTAAGAGCCAGGTGAGTCTGTACCTGCCACTCCTAAGGGCAGAGGCGCCAGGCTGAAACTCCCCTGGAAGGGGAGGATGGGCAGTTTTTACCTGACAACTCTGCCTTGTGGACCCCCAAGGCTCTCTGACAGGATGAGATTAAGGAGGGAAGGCCTTCACAGGAATGAAGCCCAGGTGGGGGCTGTGCCATGAGGCACAGAAGATCTCCCCCTGCGGCCAGGTCAGTGGGTTACATTAGCTCTGTGGCCCCGGCAGGGAGGAAGGTGCACACATGTGCTGCCGCTTCCTGATGAGGCCGTTCCAGGGCCTAGGCAGCTGTGTGGAACACCTGGCATGCTGGGCATCTGTCCATCTTGGAATCTCTGCAGTCTATCCAGGTGCACATTTCCCCTAGCTGATGGAAGGGACCATTTGTTAAAAAAAAAAAAAAAAAAATCAAAAAAACAATAACAACAATGTGTATTTGTGCTTTGTTGTGTGTGTTTGTCCTATATAGGTACCTCTTAGATCAACCTTGCTAATTATGTTATACAATCTTACATTTTCCTGCCTTTTTATGGCCTACTTTAGTGATTCCCCAAGTGTGCTCTCCTGAGGGTTCGCAAGTCCTTTACAGGGAGTCTACAAGGTCAAAACTGTATCCAGTTCAAAGATTCACTCTAAGTACAAGACAGACCATTGGATCTTAAGGTAACAGTAAGAAAAGTTTATTGGTATGGATTCAGGTTCTAAAGTACAACTAGCATTTAAGGAATGGTCATATGGCAATTTTTTTTGATAGTATCAAAGAAGAATATCTAAAATGTCTCAAAAGGCTGTTAAAGTATTCTCATTTGCAGCTACATTTCTGTTGAGGCCAAATTTTCTTCATATAAAACAACACGTAACAACAGATTGAGTGCAGAAGGAAGTATGGAAATCTGTCTATTAAGCCAGATGTGAGATTTGCGAAAATGAAGACAAGTGCCACTTTTTTCACTATTTTTTTTTTGCTTTGTAAAATATAATTTTTTCACAGAATTTGTTATTTTATCTTAACATATAATGGGTTTATTTTTGTTGCTTTATATGAATTAAATTTTGCTTATTAATAAAATTTTAAACATGGTAAATAGGAGTAGGTGTACATATAAACAAAAGGTCTTTAATCTAAAAACCTAATTTTTTTTTTTAATTTTTTTATTTATTTATGATAGTCACACAGAGAGAGAGAGAGGCAGAGACATTGGCAGAGGGAGAAGCAGGCTCCAGGCACCGGGAGCCCGACGTGGGATTCGATCCCGGATCTCCAGGATCGCGCCCTGGGCCAAAGGCAGGCGCCAAACCTCTGCGCCACCCAGGGATCCCTAAAAACCTAATTTTTAAAGGTGTAAAGGGTTCCTGAGACCAGAAAGTTTAAGAACTGCTGATTTACTTATTCTACTTGTTTCTTTTCTTCCTTTCTTTCAAAAAGTAATTCCTATACACATTGTGGGGCTGGAACTCACAACCCCAAAATCAAGAGTTGCATGTTCTACTGCCTGAGCCAGCCATGCGCCCCTATTCTTTTCATTTCTGATTGAAGTATATAAGATCTACTTTGCCTGTGGGTTTACAATTTTTTCCTTTTTTTTTTTTTTTTTTTGGAATCAGTTTTGCTCTATTTACTCTGAAGCTATGTTGTTAGGAGCATAAAGTTTCATGACCATTATATGTTCTGGTTGGATTATAATTTCTATCTGTATGAAATAGCCTTCTTCATTCCTTTTAATGCTTTGGTTTCGGGAGTAATCATTCCAGGAACCAACGTTTAACTAGAACCTGCTGTGGGCCAGGCATACACACGAAGTAGTCTCAGTCCCTGTCCATGTGGAGAACAGGGACACACAAAGGCAATGTAGTAAGGCAGGGAGAGTCCAGGCTTTGCTTCAGACTGAATGGAGGTAAATTCTGGCCACTTGCTAGTTGTGTATGTCCTTGGACATATGTCTGTTGAGTTTTGAACCTTAATTTCTTCATGTGTAGAATGAGGTGAAGACGATGTATTTAGTGGATGTTAGTGAAGACCTACAGAGGCAAGGGTAGAGGGGAGCAGCCAGCAGAGTGCCTGGCATATGGTGGCTCTGTGATTAGTACTATAATGGAGCCATGAGTGGGAGATCTGCCCCATTTGTGTCTCCTTACAAGCACTCACCCCCTCCCCGGAGAGGCAGTGCCTGGCAGTGGGAAGTGTACCAGCTTGGATTCAGAAGATCTCAGTTGTGTGTTTCCAACTTCATAACATGTCCCCGCACCCTGAGTGTTTGTTTCCTCATCTGTGAGGTGAGGATGACCGCCTCTGCCTTACATTCTCCATGGGGCCATCTTAAGGATCAAGTGAAATCGGGAAGAGGAAGGAAGTTGAGAAGATGATGGAGGGGAGGCTGATTTGGTGCTGGTCCAAGGTGGGGCATCTCTGGTCCCAGCCTGTGAGGAAGTTCTGCCAGCATAGGCTTGCCTCCTCCGAGGAGGGTTGGGATGCCCAAAGGCATGAGACAGAATCTTGTCCTTATTTTAGAGTCTTTGGGAATTACCTGCCATTTACGATCTCCGTGTTCCCCGCTGGGATACCTGTCTTCATAGCAGTGGCTGCTGAGTACTCAGCAAAAAGTCCAGCCTGAGTGGCCTGTGTAGTTAAGAGAACTCTTAGAG